AAGTATCTTGCTAGGCCGTCACGCATGCGTAATGAAAAAATACGCAACGATTTTAGTGAGTGAGCCTTCTGTTAGATATCTGCTCTGTGACGCCGACATAGACGTACGCATACGATCGTTCTCTGATGATGAAACGACTTCCGTTTTATGATGACCTGATTCAAATACAAGCGAAGCTGAAAACACATATCGATTGTTTTTTACGGTATTCTAAACTCAACAGTATTTCAAGAGGCAAATGTAACAAAATTTACAGTACAATTACTTCTTTCACTATAGGCGGAGTATATGATACGGAGAAATGATACTGTTGTAAGTAAACTAAAGTTTCATGTCTAAGTTTTAAAACAACATTCTGCAGTAGATTAGCTATTCATAAAAGAAGACAACTGTGTTTCATACTTTATACGTACATGATGTGTTTAAATTAATAGATTTAGTGATAACTTAAATAACACTTAACAGAGCTAACTTTTTAAGGTTGTCATCTTAAATCGAAGACGTATTTTGATTCCTTTCTTAGAGGAGAACATCCTATCCACAGAGCAAAATTAAAAAATATTAACTATAGTTAATATGAGTCTATAAGTGACTATATAAAATATTTCTTTGTATGATATACAAGACATCAATGTTGTACTCTTACGATCCAAGTGCGTGAAAAGTTTTTAAATGGCAATAATGAAATTCATGATTTAGCAAAACACGATAATTTGGCAATATGCTCTGAGCAATTTGTAAAGCGTGAACAACTTTATTTTCTGGTGTAATATAATTTCAATACAAAGAAAATGCTCAAGTCTGTCCTGTTTAAATTCATTTACAAATTAAAATACCTCAAGTCTCTTTGTAGTTGACAGTTTTGTAACACAAATCTCATTGCCTCCCCCCACGCAATCATGGGTTAGGTCACACTGATTACGTCTCTCTGATTACGTCACACTGCACGACCAATTGTATTTTGCTAGATAAGCCAATGAACCCCGTTGAATCTGTGGGTTTACAATTTGTCAATAGTAAAACGCTGCTTCAAATTTAAAGAATCGAGAGGTATTGTCTATGTTCTCTTACTCTTTAGTAAATCAGTGTTTTCAAAACTAGACTTTCTTGAATATGGGAGGTGAAGAAATTTATAATGTAAATAGTCATTAATAAAATACACTTTTGGTGTAACATTGAACCTCATGATTTGCGTATCTTATTTGCATGACTTATAAATTAATCATCTACTGACTAAATGTGTCAAATATTAAGACAGTTTGCAAAACTTATATGACTATCACCGTTTCCTAGCAAACATAGACAAGTCAATAATGCATTACAGTTATTTTTTGTAATGGTTATTTGTAATACTGTTGCAGTTATTGACAACGTGGCAAGTTTGTGTAGTTTGTGCAATAATTAGTAATGTGTTAGAAATAATTTTGTTCTTTTAGTTTTTTTTAGTGAAGACAGATCCTTTTTCCTCTAATTTAGAAAAAAATGCAGATCATCATTGGAGAATGTTGTGAAATATAATTCATATGATTCATTCATGCCGCAGCATGCAGAAGATTCTATCATTATTACGTGGCAAATATTAATTGACTAAAATAGCAAAGATTTTTTATAGAATATTATTTAGCAATAAAAGATATTCTGAAAATATTTTTGCAATCCTCTCTTCTTATAACTTAGCGAAAAAAATACGAAACGCGTTTGGTAAGTCCTGAATTATGAATGACCTTACATTAGTGACTGTTGGAAGACTTCATGTGATGTAAGATTAAACACTCCTTTATCAAAGCAATAAGCATTTTTTTAACAATACGGGGAATCCATATAAGGTGATTGCTATTTGTAATGAATGATTGAAGACATGAATGGTCTTTCAAAACGGCTGTTAGATAAAGATCAAATAAAGCAAAATAACAATTTTGCATAAGAATTAAAAACACAATAAATATCAGCATGCAGAATATTCTGTTAAAATGACTTAGATTATTCCACTGAAGCCATTTTATGTTCAGTGCACAATAAAAAGAATCACTTCAAGAAGTTGAAATTGGTTTAATTGATGCCAGAGACGAATTCATAAAATATATAGTCTCTTCTAACAATACTACCTAGAGAAAATTTTTGTGAAAAAATATCGAACTACCTACTAAAGAAACTTTTGCACTTTATATCGGTTTTAAGACAAAGATCGCAATGTTTTATACGTGGCAAACATTACTCTTAGTTCTACTTTAACAAAGAAGTTAGTGCTGAAAAGAACAATGGTCTTGGTTATTTTGGTATATTAACACGAACTACTGAATTATGTATGTCCTTATAATTATAACTACTATAAGACTTCATGTCATGTAAGAGTAAGCATTCCTCTCTAAAAGCAATAGCCATTTGTTCAAACATAACATGGAATTCATATGCAGAATGTTCCGTTAAAATGACTTGTTATTCTAAGTGAAGCAAATTTACGTTCAATGCACAGCATTAAAAAGAATCACTTTAAGAAGTTGAAATAGGTTTAATTGTTGCCAGAGACGAGTTTATAATATATACAGTTTTTCTATGATTACCAGCTTGAGACAAATTTTTGTGGAAAAATATCGAACAACCTACTAAAGGAACTTTTGCACTTTATATCGGTTTTAAGACAAAGATCGCAATGTTTTATACGTGGCAAACATTACTCTTAGTTCTACTTTTAACAAAGAAGTTGGTGCTGAAAAAGAACAATGGTCTTTGTTATTTTAGTAGATTGACACAAACTACCAATAACATTTATAATTTTACTAAGGTTGCGTTCAGACAAATTCAATAGCAAAATTTATCATAACATTATGAATCAGACTTGATTCAAAATTTGCAGCTCTTTCGTAATCTTATTAGTCGTAATACATCAATTGTCATGATCAACGTGGCAAATGGTGTTATTTGCACAACAATGATAAACGATTTTAAATTAAAATTTCCATATTGATAAATTACAATCAATTTTGCTATATTATCGTTTTTTAACTTGAATAGCTAAAGACTGTCAATCAGGTTCATTACTATAATAATGCTAAGAGATGAATGATCTTTGTTTAAAAAAATGTTTTCAAAAAATATGTGACACGGAGTCAGTAATACAAGATAATAATCTTGCATGACAATCTTAAACAAATATGCGTTCGCACAGCATGTAGAAGAATCTATTACTTTTACGTGGCATATATTTATTTTAAAATTGATGTAAAGATTACTTATTCAATAATATTTACCAAATATTATTGCATATTCTTCTTTAATGAAATTAAACGACAAATATTAGCGGTTTTTTAGTTCACTATAACTTTAGGTAAGTTTGACTGATTCTATTAACACAAGTTTGATATTAACTGATTCTGGATGGAAAATGAAAATAAAGGTAAAGAAGCTCTGAATTTTAGTCAGAACGTTTTATCTGATAGCTGATTCAACTACGTTCTTAGTCAAATATATACACGTTAGCAATAGCAATACTTTTATATTTTATTTTGAAAGATAACAATCCATCCGTAGCATAAAATTGATACGTGTACAAGCATACTATTATCATATGCTTAATTGTACTTTAAAGTTTAAAACCTATAGCAAAAAGAATTTCAAGTCTAACATCGAATCCAAAATAAAAACCAAATAATTGTCAAAAAAATGTTCAGGTATCCATTTGTCTATTTATTTGCTCACGTTGTAAATTGATTAAGACAACTAGCTGCTAATACAGTCAATGTATCAGAACAAGAACATTATTTTGTTTGTAAAATAATGACTATTGTAGACAACGTGGCAAGATTGTGTCATTTGTTCAAGAATAAAGAAGATTATTTAATAAAATCTTCTTCAAGAAAACATGGGACAATCTATATATTTTGTTGTAGCTTTCATGTTATTTCAGCAGGAATAAATTTAAAAGCTGCTCTTAATATATTGATTTACTTTTGACATTTAAACACATTAAATATATGTGTACTTTGGCTCAAATATAAGAACAAACAATTCTGTTTAAAGAAATTTTATCTGCTTAAAAGTTTTTAAACACTATGCTTTCGTCTTATTATGAAGTTAGTTAATCAATGACTAAATTTTATTATCTTTACAAAAGTTGTGAAATCAAGATAAGATCACAAAAAATAATAATCGAGAATAACAATGAATACATATAAATTTTCTCAGCATGAATAAAACTATTGCTGTTACGTGGCAAACATTAATCAGTTTACTGATGTATAAAAATCATTTATCCTGACCAATATCCTGACAACAGTTTTCATTAAAAGTTTAAATTACTTTATACAATAACAATGAAAGGCTAAGAAAACTATAACCAAGCCTTAAATGTCATAATTATTCTCAATTTTTTTACTTTATAGAATATTTTAGTTACCACCAACAACGTTGCAGTTTTGTGCATATCATTTGCAAAACAATAAGAAATAATTTTAAATAATTCATGATGCATGATGCAATATACTTTGCAATATTCTATATATTCTTCCACTGACGAAACTGAAAACGCTGTACTAAAGATCTTAATGAACCCACACAATTAGAAATTAGTATAAACTAGCAGTTATTATATTGATTCTAAAATATGATCTTACTGTCGGAGAAATTTGCAAATAATAAGTCAATGATACAAGATAACAATCTTCAATGACCTTGACACCATAATAACTGTCAATGTATGCAAAATGTTCTATCAGTACAATTTGGTGTATATCTATGTTGGCAAATATGTACTAATATGAATATTTAAGATAAAATGTATTTAGCATACTCCAGTAATGTACTTTCCTTTACATACTCGCTATTGCAAACATTGTTGCTGCCATTGACAACATGGAAAACTTTTAGTTACAGCAAATTACGTTTCTTTGCAAAAACAATGAGGAGTTGTAAATAAGCTTTTCGTGCTGAAGCGGAAGTGTATAGATTGCCATTGAAATAGCATATAATGCAAGGGCAAATTTTAATTCAGCATTCAGCATTCGACACCAACTACAAGTTAACAAACTTTAGGTTAAGGAAAAGTGGAAAATTGGCAAAAATGAATATACTTCTATGGATGGTATTAATTTTATTTGTATCAAATAGCGTTGCCACTCTTAAGAAGAGCAAAACAAAGGTTTGAATTAATAATTTATCAGTTAAGTTTATTATCTGTGTTGTTTTGCATTTAAGTCTACTTTGGAGGTGTATTTTCTTAAAACAGAGATTTTGAAGGCTTTGCAATATCATATTATTTTGGCACACGTAGTTAGTCAGATAGAAACGAATATGCTGATGTTTTGTTGCTTGCCAATATTGTAAATTTTTGTGCAACTAATTGACTTGCTGCATAGTGTTTTTTGTATTCTAATTGACGAGGTTTTCAACATTATTGTCATAAGAATTGTTGTGCAATGTAAATAAGAGTTCAAATGCGATTTAATAACGAAGAGGGCCAACAATCTTGACTGCACTTTCTTCGTCTTTATATAGGACCAATGTTCAACAAGATGTTCTGCAAATGGCATCCCAGGAATCCCTGGAATACCTGGTGCACCAGGATCGTCAGGACGAGACGGACTCAAAGGAGATGTAGGATCAAAAGGAGAAAAAGGTGAACCTGGTAAACCTGGCGTATCGGTAAATAATGAAATATTTAATCTGAACTGGAAACAATGTGCATGGAAAAGAGTTTACAGCAAAGATCATGGATTGATACAGGTCATATTAATTAATACTTTCAAATTTCTACAAGCAATAATGTCAAATATTGATAAGAAATAGAAATATCTTATAACTTCTTTCATAAACTATAATTTCATTTTAGAACTGTATTTTTACAAAAAAGTTCGAAAACACATCTCTTCAAGTTTTTTATGGAGGTAACTTACGTATCGCTTTTTGCAATACTTGTTGCAAACGTTGGTATTTTACGTTTAATGGAGTGGAATGTAAAAATCCTCTTCCTATTGATGGAGTTTTTTATATACACACTGTAAAACCAGAAAATATCCATCGGCATCGTCATATTGAAGGATACTGCAACAAAATCCATAAAGGAAAAGTACAAGTTGGTTTCTGGGTCGGCAATTGTGCTGGTTATGGTAACGCAGATGCGGACAGTGGATGGAATTCAGTTTCTCGTATTGTTATTAAAGAAGTTTCTCCTCCACAAGATTAATTCACTTTCAGAAAAAGCAGTGCTGAAATAATTCATGATAATTTATGATAATTTGTGTTCAATTTGATGACCTATGTAATTCAGACTTATGTAAATGTTATGTTAATTTATTAGTATGTGAAAATGTACGTCCATATATAGCAAATTTTGAACAAACATGATTTCTTGCATGAGCAGTTATAGCGATAACAGCGTTTATTACTGTCGTTATAATCCTTTTATATCAAGATTGCGTTACTGGTCTATTTAATCAATAAATTTTGTTTTTTTCTCAATAACTTTCTTATTTAACATACTCCTGAGCGTAATATAGCAAATTACTTTCAGGCATTACTCTCAATTACTCTCAATAAGCATTTTCTTCAATTAAAACACTATCGTGGCTGACAAAAATCAACAAACAGTTTTCATCATTCTAAATATACAAATAAAAATGTATTTTGCTACGTAATAATGAATCTTGCAGCATTTCATGTTGCCGTGTTTCACGCAAAGAAATCAGAGTTAAATTAAAAGAGGATTTGAAATTTTAAGAGTTTTTCTACTGGCAAGAAGACAAACCTATTCATTTTAAAAGACAACATTTTTGGCAAAAGCCATATGCTCACACATGTGGCAACATAACGGAAAATAACAGCTTACCAACTTCATAAGAGACTCGAAAAATTGAAGTCAAAAAAGTCAAAGCGTTTATTTTTAAAAATTTTCTTAGACAAATCTAATACATATTTTAGGATAAGCCGAAATTTAGCTAGCAGTCGAAAAATTCAGAAACAATGTTGCCTTCAAACTGCGAACAATTGTAAAAACGAATGACGCACAGAATTAACCTCATCTAAACTGTATACTACAGCAAAAACCAACATTAACATGTTTGCCAATATATGATGTCATTGCTAAAGTGAGATAGTTATTCTGACTGGTTTGATATTATGCTATTTAATATATAAATGTACATAGCTTTTAATATCTTAGATCATCTGTAATTTTGGTCTTGGAAAAAGTTGCACCATTTTCGAGATAAAACTTAAAGTTTTCATAAGGGCCAAATTTTTGAAGAGAAGGCCATATTTCCTAGAGAATTTGGTCCAGGCAGGGAAATTTTATTGTAGGGGAAGGGGGCAAATTCCCATTGACAACGGAAGAAATTGTAAACAAGGCTAATTTATTCTAGTGGACTGGCAAGAAACATGTTTTCATATTACGTTATCACAACGTAGAAAACCATTGACTAAACAAATGCTATTTAGGTACTTAAGAAACTCTTTAGTAAAGGAAAAAAATATAGAACATAAACGAAGTAACAACATAGTGGCGTTCTTTTAATTTTATTTACTATTGCGTAGGCATTTTATGAACGTAATTATTGTTGTAGAAAACACAATACGAATTAAAAGAAAATAAAACTAAATAAAGGATAGGAATAGCATACTATACAAACTGAAAATTATAAAATATACCGAACGACATAAGGTTTTCCTCATCTTACTTTACACAAGAGTGCACGTTTTTTTTTGTGCATTACTTCATGTAATCTTTGCCAAATTTCTAACTCGTCCATCTATCCACTCTATAAAGGGCAGCACTTTCCTAATATTTGTAGTCAAAAAATTAATATAATCTACATCCTACGTTATAAAAACTTCGAGTGAAGGTTCCTTCACAATATTTTTCAAACCAGATATTAGCTACTGTTTTCAAGTTTTTCAAGTGGTAGATAGAAAAGATGTAATTTTACCATTGATGAATTACTGATCACAGTTTATCAAAGATTTGAATTCATCGAGGTGTCCCTTGCGTCTTCATCTCTTATTTCCAACCTCATCGTGTTTTTTAAAGTACATTTGATGAACTTCGTTGATTTTATTAACCCAGCCATCTGCATTTCCCTCTGGATCTTCCAAATAATAAGTTCTGTTAGGCTATAAGGCAGAAAATATCCAATGTGAACAACAAAGAAGCGATTTTAAAGATGATAAATACTACACTCACTGTGTGCACAAAAAATATGCGAAAGTTCTTTGCCTCAACCTTTAAATCTTTCGTCCTAAATAAAACACAACAAAACACAAAAAATCGATTAAATATTGTGATCGTTTTAACATCAGATCCTTTGCCATGTAAACAGTTTCAACATCAGATAACTCTTAATGAAGGAAGGCACTATATATTATACCACATAAGGTCTCAATTTCAACTTTACACTTCTCCATATATTAACTAGAAAATCAACATACCATGGTATCTGGCCTTTAAAACCATTGCTTGTGGATCAACGTAGTACAAATGTGGTCCCTCAGTTAGTATCAATTGTCTTCTTCGAGCAAACAGTCCCTGAATGAAATAAATTCTTAAATGATATTTTCAGAAGGGATTGGCAGATGTTGCTAGAAGTTCATCAACAAATTATCGTTCTTTACCCTCCCACCCGCCCAAGCATCTCCGTGAAGGTACCTGAGTTTAAAATGTAGTAATGAATATGTTCCTTTCAAATTTTAATTACCTTTCTTTGTCAATAAGTCCAGTCTTAAGAATCAAATTATTCCCAACAAAACTTGCCCTGAAAGTTTTAGAAATTTAAACTGATTAATTCCATGTAAACAAAGTTGAATTCTTTTAGGGATAAATTTACTACAGAAAAAATATTCCAAAAGCCCAGCAATGTTCACGATTGTTTAAAGCATGACGTAACAAAACGGGCTAAGACTGGGCGAAGGCAGGGGATACCAAACCTGTGAGAGGTCCATATTTATAATAATGTAAAAGAAGAAACATTTGCACAGTAATCTGTATGAAAAATACGAAATTTGGAAGTAGCACTTGCAAAACTGGGGGGTTTAAATATTTTTACTACGGTTCCCAGATGTGGTGCTAAGCCTCTACTGACGGTAATTTAAAACCTAAATTAAGATGGATGGATCTCCTGTTTACAAAGTGTTGAGGTTTAACGAAGTAAAAGTTCGTCAGTAAGATCTTAATTATAATTACCAACAGGAGTATAATTCACTAATAGTTTACTATCTCATAAAAGCCCTTCAAAACGTTTACATCGTTAATTTTTGAACTTGCAACAAACTGAATTCAATTTTGCCACTACATCGTCTAATTTACCTGAAAAGTTATTAAAAAACATTGACTAACAACTTCATTTTACTTCAAATACTATTGTCTTTGATAGTTGCATGGAGCACAGAGACGAAAATAACAAAATCCGTCATTATCTCAACCCAGAAAATAGCCGTTACGCTATGATTGAACGGATATTGCACTTGGTTGACACACATTCTATAATGCTGGCTAACAATCAAAACATTCGCAAGTAATTCAATGCATGCAAGCCAATAGCCAATAAAAACATTTTCCAGTGTTTCAATGAAAGCTATAGCCAATGAAAACTTTCATACATAACTGCTTCAATGCGGAGCTAAATATCAAATCAAAACAATCGCAAATACAACAATGTGTTAGTTTTGTTCTCTAACACATAGCTAATTCCTACCATAAAGAGTCTTTCTCTTGGTTTTAGTTTTCAAGCGCTCTTGTTTAGGCAACATAAAGTCGCCATCACTAACCAAGTGAAGCTTTGTGGCTTCCTCTTCCACTATGCCAAGGTTTTCTAATATTCCAACATCAATATCACTATCCGTTGAAGTAAAAGAGTCGATCTAAATTAATTCAAAAAAAAAACAAATCATTTCCTATTTTTAAATTCAAACGTTGCAGTAAGTTTTGGTTAAGCATTTCATAAAGAAACAGAACTGTATGGACATCGCGTTGCAACGAAAACATTTGATCATTACAATGCATAACAATTGAATCCGATACCAACATTAAAATGACTTCAACGTATGATTATGACACATAAATGCCAACTGTGTACCTGGCTATCCCCCCAGAAACCTGGTTCATCAACGCTGGTTGCAGGCAGATAAGGGAGAAGACGAGGTGGTGTATCTTGGGGTAGACTCTCCCACTTGATTTCTTCATAAAACAAATGTTCTTTTAATGGTCCGTAGCATCCCATCTCATCACAACCAAGTCTTTGCGTTGGATCCAATATCTACGTCCATAATCATAAGTATACTTAATGTATTAAAAATGGAAGTGGGAATAAAGTTTACAAAGAGGCAATCCTAAGAGCGGGAGAGAGTAAAAAATACTTTTTAAAGACACAGAAGCTTTTCTTCATTTTCCCAACAACGCTAACTACAGCAACTAAATTCATAGCTGAATAATATAAACTAGAGTAACCGCTGCCACTATATATATTGCGGCGAGAAGAGGAATGCCTGCTAATTTGAACAATACAAAGATGATGCTGGTACGTAAATGTTTGTCATTGTTTGAAATATCGTCACTAGTAAAAAGTTACAGTTGAACATAGAAAAACATTGATTCAAAGATAACAAAATTCCATCCAGGCATATAGAATAAAACCACGCTTTTAATACGTTTAAAGTCACACCCTATGTCCTTTTTACCAAATGAAATTCAAATTGAAATCATTTTGGTAAATTAAATTTGCCAGTCGCATAGCAAATAATATCAAAAATTTAATTTGTCTGTGCATAGTATAAGAAAAGTACATGTCAATGCATTCTTAATGCATTAAAACATAATACTATTTTAATTGATCCAACTGTTTGTTTTTGCCTATATCGCCAGTAATTTCAGGTTGAACTTGCCTTAAAAGTTTCCCATAAATATTACGTTTTTGATCTTTTTAAGTGGGAATAAACCATCCAGTTTTAATGTAAAAGTCACTATACAGTAAACTATGCAGGCTCTCTTCGCTGAGTTTGTGCAACTGCATGGTTGACGATTGTAGCTACAACATAAATACACACAAAAATTCGTAATGAGAAAGTAAAGTTAATCACTTACCAAAAGTTGTTTAACGAGTGATTTTGGACATTCGGGAAAACCATTTGGAAATTCATACTCCAACTTTATAATCTTTTGGAATATCTGATATTCATTTCTGAAACACAACCGGAAGTAATTGGTGAATTAGAGAAGATTGAGAAACCGTACTATTTTATAACATCAAATCGGCGTAATTTTTTACCCTGCTCTAAACGGCGGTAATCCCGATAACAGTTGATATATGATACATCCAAGAGCCCAAAGATCCGAGCTTTTTAAGAAAAAACTCATTTTATTCATGTAAAATGTATATACGTACAATGAAAATAATAATGTAGCAAAAAACCAAAGTTAAAACAAACAATTTTTTTACTCGATTTTGCTTTGAGTTTTGATATCTATTTTTAAAGATCACATCAAAAGTATTCATGTCTCTTAGAAACAATGTGCAAAACTGTTGATGTTTTCTTAATCAAGAACATGACGACATATTGACTCTCGGGCTGGGTGAAACTGAAGGGGAGATTCTTTGCGTACTCGTAAGAATAAGCTACGGATAAAAAACATAGCAATACAGCAGTGCACTGTACCTTTTGCACGCTCTTTTATCAGTTAAAAGTTCCGGTGAAACATATTGAGCTGTCCCAACAAAAGAATTTCGTCCTTCTAAAGACAATCAAAAAAACCTGATCGCAGGTTTTTACTGACAAGAAATCACTTCCTAGAATTACACTTTCCGGCACACACATTGTGCTTATGAAATACGACTTAATATTCAATCCTAGTTGGGTGTTGTGCAAGTTTTTCGCACATATTTCAAAGACTTTTCCAACTTCGCAAAGCTTTGTATTCCTGCTAAGTATTTTTTACGTTTACAGCAACGTTCATTAAATTCCTTTTATCTGCATTTTGTACAAAATCAAATAAAAAAATGACAATGACCAACACAAACAACTACAGTTATTTGATCTTAAAACTAAACGAAAATTTCAAAAAATAACAAGGTAATTTTTTGTAATGAGAGAGATAACAACAAGAAAGATCGCCTTTCTAAAACTAGGAACATAAGATTTTCAAACTGTGAAAACCACTTCACACTTTACGTTTCTCTGTAGTTCGCCTGCACGCAGGCTATTGTCTACCAACCTTTTCCGGTTTGATCTGGTTTGTCGAGAATCTTCGCGGTTCCAAAGTCTGTGATTTTGATATGCATGTCATCACTGAGCAAAATGTTTTCTGGTTTCAGGTCTCTGAGAAGAAAACAACAAACCCTGAAATTAGAACTAAAGTTTGCCAATTTAAAAATGCTGGCAAATCACATAGCTATCAGGATTCCTGCTTTGAATATCGTATTTGCCTTATATTGCCAATAATTGACACTTGGCATTTCTATAGCCAACTCATCTAAATTAAGAAACACTAAAAACTGTTGTAAATGTGTGTTGAATCATCCACCAAATTTGCAAAAATGCATAGCGTTATCCAGCTCAACGTAAATTTAAGTTTTTTTCCTCTTTATTTTTTTGTATAAAAATTTTATGGAGAATGTGAACAAATACAATGCTATTACGATCACCATAAAATGATATAAATAGAAATCTCATACGATGGAGGTACGAAGGAGATTTCTAAAATTAAAACTGCCCATGTGAGGCTCCTCATCAACTCAACATATGACAACACTGTGAAAATAATTACAAATAATTTATATAAGTTTAACGCACAACAAACGCCATAAATTACAGAAACAGGCACATAGCAATGATTTCGATGAGAATGACATATATGTGATATTTATTGACCACGTACAGGAGGAATCAAAATCTCGTCCCAGGCTCCTTGCTTTGCAAAAATGGAGTATAAAAAATTTGAATACTATCCGCGAAGATGATCTTGTAATGCAAAGCTTCAGTATCAAAGCTACGAAGTTTTTGGTCGTTATTTATCATAGCAAATACGCTTTTTGAGGCAATTTAGATTTTTTACAAAGGCGAAGTCTCTGTTCAAAATTTCAAACAAAACATGATCAATTATAAATACCTGTGTATAATTCCTAGTGAGTGCAGATACTCCAAAGCAGAAATAATTTCAGCAGAATAAAACTGTGTACATTTCAAATCAAAAGAGCCAAGCTGTATAAAGAAGGAATAAAAGAATATCTGGTAAATAGAAAATGTTCATTTATCACAACTTGCATTTAACGTCAGAAAAGAAATGTTAACTGAAAATTCTGTCGTTTTAATCTTCTATTATGAAAAACGTGGAAAGCAAAAAGCCAGCGTTTTGCACGAGGAATGCATTTTACATCAGTAAAGCTTGCGCAAAAAAAACATCTTTTTTCTAATGTACTTGAACTGCAATTAAACAAATTTTATTAAAATGGAAATAAAAATTTAACTTTTGCTGGTTGGACAACCAATGCTTTCATGTTTTGTCCTTCATTGCATATTTGTAATTTATTTAAGTAGTTAAAGAAAGAATTAATATAATTTATGGTAAAAACTATAAGTAACTAATCCAAGGGATGTGCTGCCCCAGTCCTCTAGTCAGCAAAATGGGATATGCTGCCCCAGTCCCCTTGTCAGCAAAATGAGATATGCTGCCTCAGTCCTTTTGTAAACAAAATGAGATGTGCTGCTCCAGCCTCCTTGTCAGCAAAATGAAAAGTTCTGGTCCAGCCCCCTTGTTACAATAAGTGTGCCACGCTGGTGCGTGATAGTATTAAGATATTGTGAACGGACAGTGACTTCATCATAAAACAGAACAAAAACTGAAGTGTTTCACTCCTAATAAGATCGTTGAAAAAATATCTCAATTCTGATTGGTTAAGACCAGTGCATCTTTTCCTAAACACGAGTGCAAAAAAACGAAACACCAGTGCAAAAATTACAATGGCTGGCGTAAGTTTTAAGTAAATTTTCTTTGGCGACGGAGTCAACGATTCATCGTTTGCAACAAGTTTCTGATAAAAAATACGAACACTGCTAAAGGTAGATATCTTGTTCTAGCTGCAAGTGTAGAAACTATGGTGTTATGAAAACATTAACTGAAGGAATTGAAAATACAAGCAGGTCGATAGTACAACTTGCCCGTTGAAATGTACGTACGCTGAGTTAAAAATCAACAGAATTGAGAATTTTTTTCATGTATATTATTAACAAGAAGCAGCATGATTTCTCGAGCAGTTTTGAAAACATGCACTCGTGAGTTTTCTAAAGACTTCAAATTGCACACGTCCTTTGAAAAATTCACTCGTGTATGTTTTTCCCAAATTGCACTCGAAACCATGCTATTACATGTACAAAATGACAGTAAACAAAAACAATTTCGTACCAGAGCAAAGCTTCGAAATAAAGGCCTCAATTTGAAAAGAAAAATTGCAGAATTGTTTACCTTGTTTATATATGGAAGCAACTCTCCTTTCTTAGCCAAACTTAAACCAAAATCTGTAATTTGTAGCGAATGAAGGGAATACAAAAATACTCTAACATTGAATCTTGAGCAGCAGCTATAAGTAGCCATTCCAGTCTAATGTTGTTTTTTTTTGTCAGGTATGGTCTTATGTTGAAACCTGAGTTTTTATGTACTTTAGTCTAGTTTCTTAATGAAGAGTGACGTGGTGTTAAAATTTAGTCGTTATATACTCCAGTCTAATGTCTTCATTAGAAGTAATCTGATGTAGAAACTTTAGTGCTTATATTATATATAATCCAGTTTAGTGTCTTCATTAGAAATGATGTGATGTATATATAAACACCAGAATCTAGTCAGAAATTCTATTAGTAAATCAAAGAAAAACTATTGTGATGAAAAAGGATACAAAGACGTTCCTTGTCTTGAAAAGTGAAAAACAACTGCACAAAAAAAGGATGAGACAGACGGCTCAAGACATCCTTCTCTCGTAGCACATAGGGAGATTTCTTCTCTTTTATGATATGACGTTTCTCAAGAATTTTAACTAAAAAAAAACAGTTGACATCAACAAAAAAGAGATCTGAAGGTAGTAGTTGTGTCCTATAAGTGTGTATAGTTTTATCACTTTAGTGACGAGAATTGTGCCTCCAAATTCGTCGTCCTCGACAAGTTACAATCAATCAAAGTAAACCAAATAACATCAAGCAACAATAAGGTTTACAAAGATATATTAACTAGCAAAACTTTTTAAATAATAAGTACGTTCGTTACTGTATTGTACAATGGACTCCGTCTTGGTCACATACGTCTTACAACTGACTCGCTTCTTCCACTCTCTATCCTCACTATCACTCCCTAGTTTTGACGTCATTACTGATATTTCGTGCATGCAACTAACTAATGATGAGTGATGCCCTTATCAGTTTCCGACAATAGTTCTACAATTATCACTAAAGTAATTCTGCAGTTGTCACAAGGCCAAAGTCAGTGATATAAACCAACACAATACAGGGTTCAAAAACGACCGATCAACGGACAATGACCGGCATAAAAATGCTGACTGACCACATTTTTACGTCTTTGCCAAAAGTATTATAGTCATGCGATACATGACAACATATTGAGAGATTAAAACGTCAAACACGAGAATTTGTCTTCCCAAAAAATTATCATTTTGCGTTCTTTAGTGCAATTTATGCATGAATTGAATGGCGTGAACCTAGGAGTATTGTTACATGTATGTTTTTAGATGGTAGTTCTGACAGAGACAGTGGGACTGTTGGTGTAGGTGTAGGTGTAGACTGACGTTTCGACAACGTCAGCAGTAGTTATTTTGTAGTGTTAAGCGAGGACTACAAGTACAAATACAAGTAAAGTAAAGTTGTCGTTTTACTCTGAAGATGACTACTTCCATATTGGTAAAAAATCATCAACAACAACACTAATAGTACCACTACTAGTGCATGGTCCTCATGACACCACTTCACCATGGTTACCCAGCAACTCATTTTTATTGGTGGTTATTGAGAGAAAGTCGTTGGTTCGTGCAACGATATTTAGATATAATAATGATAATCAGTTTTTCAGGTGAATCATTGGAAAGAAGACATTTTCGCAAATTCTATTTTGCTTTGGAATCGAAGCTGTTTTATACTTGTCACTATACATGGTGTCTTAAAAAACGTGATCCAACTTCAACACGCTGCTGCTGTGTGCAAGTTACTGAACATGCTACCATATAGTTTTGAATTATTATGAAAGATTGTAGTTCTAGTTATAGAATGTCATGTTGCTAGATACAACTGGAAGGAAAATGAGCAAATGAAAGCGCGTTAAAAAATATATGTCAAAATTGCATGCTCTAACATATGAGATTAAGGCTAAATATTTTGAAAATCAACGTTGTTTACTTCAGAGCCCTGTATTTGTAAGAGTTGGGAAACGTATTGTTCTCTAAACTTTGCATTATGATCAAGGTGATTCAGTGATTGGGTACATATGGTCATGTGGGGAAGTAGCGGCCATTTTTGTTCCAAAAGCGCAAATTATAACCATTTTTTACATAGGAGATAAACTATAAAAAAATGTTAAGAGCGATTTTATGTTGCGTTATAATAATGCCGATGACAGCGATGAAGAATAGAAACTCAAACGTACCCGATCCCTTGTGGAAAAAACAGTAGTAAAGGCGTATGAATTACATTCACTGCATTAAATAAATGCTTTTCTATTATTATGACATCTATAAACAACTGAATCCTAAAGGTAGGGATTGCTGTCTATTCATGAAAAAAAAAGACAACAAAAATTTCTCTTTGCGCCACTTAATGCTCCATATTTGCTGACTTTTGGAACAAGAATGGCGAACGCTAAGCAATTTTACTTCCAGTGTCCCACTCTCCTAATACACGACTCTGGTTTAGTTCCTCCGGAGCCTTACATCTTAATTATGTATGGTATTTTTATGCAGTTTGCCTTAACATTGTTTTTTCGAATTTGGTCATTATGAAAAAGTAAACAAGGTTTTTGAGACGGCATGCTGTTTACAAACAACGCCGAGTGAACGCTGTAAATGTTTTCTTGCACAGACATAAAAACCATTTAGGAACCTGAGTAAAATTTTGACTAATTCTATCTAAATATGTTTTGACTCTTTACGTCTCAACTTTTTTCGTCCTTTGAGTTTTGGATGGTTTTCTTGATGTTGCAATAGGGCAAGGCCGGGAGACAAAGGGTCATTAAAAAAATACTAGCTGCTAGCCGCATCTGTAGTGGATAGCAACCCTCTCCAGGGAAGTGATTCGCATAACTTGAAGCTCGTCGGCCACGGGCAGCAAATTTTTGGAAGCTTTTTGACGGGCGTGCGCTGTACGCATGATATTGTGTTTAGATATAATGACTCTTTACGTTCCTAGTTTACGTTAAAGTTTGTTTTGACACCATTGTTATTAATTAGTTTTTCTTTTGTCTCACTCAACACAGCGATGAAAGAATGTAATTTCGACTAAATATTTTTAACGTGCTCGCATTCGCTTATTTTAGTTCCATATGCTACGAACATATGTTCGTTCATTTATTTAGGGATTTCTGCATACCAGGTGCATAAAGTTGAATTACTTTTTTTTTGAGACAGCCTTTGGTTCTACAGTTATTACTAAAGTTTAACAGTCATTGCTACTTTTACATACTTGCATATTCCTTGCCTGTGTTGATCTCCTTTGCATACTGGACCTACATCAATAATTTATTATTTGAAAAAAATCATATTTGCTGCATCAATTAGGGACATAAAAAGGGAAGCCTTATGGTCGAGAAGAAAACCAATGCATAATTTATACTAATCTAAGTGTAGACTTGCACAAAAGTTTCAATTTCACTGTTGAGTCATGGAAAATTAAAATTCCATGGTTGAGATATTGAAAAAATGCAAAAGGAATGAGTGGTTGGAGAAAGAAAAGTTGTAAAAAGATTTAAAAATTTGATCCAAAATAGTCATATTTATCATAAGCACTATTGACATTTCATGCCATTATGTCTTCCGAATACATAAATGAAAACTTATCATAAATTATTAAAAGTTATAAAAGTTATCATAACACATCATCAGTTTATACAAGTTATCATAAGTTTTTGAGAGTTTTCATGAGATCTTACATTACTTGTCTTATTTTAATTCTCCTCGTTTAGATAGCTCAGGTAAATAAAAATTCTTCAATTTTTAGACACATTTTGAAAAACTTATGCCACTATACTGCAAGTAATCTAAAACCCACAAGATAACAAGGTAATCACAAGGAATTATACATTGATTATACATAAGTAGATCACTAAGAAGTGTATTGGAAGAGAGGCTTAAGGGACTCAACCTTCCTTGTTAAAATTTGGCAGTCTTGTATTGGTAGTGGTAATATATATAACAGAGCAAGCATTAGAGGTACCTATATACCTATCAGAGAGTCTTTTTTGCTAAAATTGTGGCAGCACATCTCTAAGATCCATCAATGAGTACTAAGGACAGATTAGTTCAGTAAAAAAAATGTCTGCAAGTAGAAGTATTGTCATTTACATACCTACAATGTCTTAGTGATGTATGCTTATAATTTATATAATTTATCATAAGGTATCATGGAGTTTATCAACAAAACTTACAGTCGAATATGATCCTTCACCAAGTATTTTGCCAAAACTGAAATCCTGTGGCTGTTTCTTTTTCTTGGGGCTGGTGATTGCAATGGCGGATTCTGACTTTCTGATCGAAGTTTCAGTCTGTAATTAACAATGTTAAATAACAAATAGAAATTGAGAAAAGCATCAGTCTAAATGTATACAGTACATAAAAGCATGAAAACAGTCCTTTTAGAGGTCTCAAGACTCATTGCTTGATACACCTGTAGTAGTTTCTACAGACAGATTTCACCCAGCACAGGTATTGGTAACTAAACTGGGTTTGAAAGTCAATGATTATCAACTTACAAACGAACAAAAATTTAATTTTAAATTCATAATGTCCATTTGCATTTTGCTTCGTGTAAAAATCTCAATGCCAAAGGCAAGAACAAAGGCAAGAACAACAAACTTGGGCAAACCTCAAAGACAACAAACACTACTCAATCGATCAGTTGAAGTTAACAATCTTTTATCAAGAAAATTGCTCTTAGAACACTTCAAAACACAATAAATCAGATAAAACCTTGTCTCCCATGCCGATGATCTTTCAAGTTCTCCGCATGCTTCATACAAGACGGAAAAAAACCATTCCTCCTCGTGGAGCCTTTTTGTATTGGCACTTTCGACAACCATCTTAAGTTTGAGCCCGCCATATAAAGAAAATGTCAGCGTTTGAAGACTCGCAAAACAGTTTTGTATCGCGGAATAGTGCGCTTTCTAAACCGCAATGACACACAACATGTAACGTAAAATAGAAACTCAGAAAACGAACTGTCATCTTTGGTTTACTTCTTTTAGGTTTCACTTACACTGACTTACGTAAGCTCCGCGTATTCGATTTTACTTTTTGGCTAATTGCTAATATGTAATGACATATTCATGACTTCGTGTGTACAATCACGAACGCTCGGTCGCTCACGAATTAATCAAATTAAAATAACGTAAAGTGCGCGCAGAAGCAACAGCGCGCTTAGTTTGAAAGCATTTCATAAAAAAGACAAAGATAAATGGTTGGTGACTTTATTACTGTCTTTACTCACTTAAATACAACGCAAATGGCTTGCGTCACTGTTCCTGGTCTTCTTCATCATGCTTCCCAATGTAAAGGACAAATTCAGGTTAGCTTTAGATATTAGAATAAATTTTCTCACTTTGCTGGCATAGGAAGTTTCAAGTTTGGTTCCTAAATTATCAGTATGAATTCTATGAAATACCAAAAACAAACTTTCAAATATGGAAGATTAACAGCGATTGTTTCCCTTTTGTACAGGTCATATTTGGACCCATGTTTAGTGGTAAAACGTAAGTTTGAGTGTATTGGGGTCCTTTCATTTTTTTCATGGGTTTTATTGTTACTTGTGAAATGACATTCCATGTTTGATCTTTCTACAAGATTTTCTATCCGTGTTAAAGTAGAACTATTGGTGTTCTTTAGAACAGAATTGATGAGACGAGTGAAGCGCTATCAATTTGCCAATCATTCATGTCTGTTAATTAAATATGAGCAAGATGATCGTTATGATGAGAGAAAAGTTTCAACACATGATAAGTTTGTAATATGTGTCATATTATATCAAATTTGTATCACCTTCACTATTGGTTCCCCTACAGGTGGATATGTTGTATTACGTATATGTAGAGTGCTAAAATGAGATCAATTGTTAAAAAGGGATAACACAAGATTTAACTTTCCTTCAAGCATTATGAGCAAGAATTAATAAATCATTGTGGCCTGTTATTGTAATTTTGCACTCCACCTCCACATCTCAAAATTGTGCATTTCGATGTGTGTTGTCATTCCATGTTAAGCTTGTATTTATTTATGGAGCATCTTATTGCATGATAGACACACATTGCAAGGACTTAAGGAGAATTTCAGGCAGGGGGGTGGGGACAATGCTTTTCTGCTTAACATATTGTTCTATCCACTAGATCTCAAAAGATATTATTGATAAACATTATTCTTGTAATGTGCTGTCCTCTTTTTTTGTCATTCAAATTCCTTTGCACTTTTTTGCAGCTCAAAGAATTAAACAGTTTTCACAACTTAACTTCTGGAATGAAATGTTTTTTTTTGTTATTAAAGGCAGTTACTTTCACTAATTGGAGATTGTCAATATCATAAATTTTAAATTTGGGAGCCTTTGTCCAAAATAACCTCTCTTCTAACCTATGTAACCTCTCCTTCATAGACAGAGAATGGGTGCAGTTCCATGTCATCAATTGTTCAAAGTCAAAGGTCAAGCTATGAAGTATAATGTCATTGGTATTGATGAAGGACAGTTTGTATGTTGCTTCCTTTCTGATGTATTTTTATGAATGTACCAAACACCAAACCTGTGCCAATTTATTGTTTAAGTTTCCTGATATTGCTGAATTTTGTGAAGAGCTTGCTAATAAAGGAAAAACTGTTATTGTCGCAGCTTTGGATGGCACCTTTCAAAGACAGGTACATATAAATAATGTAGCTATATTGCTATACTTTTATGGATAATGGTTGGTATTGGCACATCATGTTCTTTTTTTACTTCCTATGGTATGTATGGTTTATCCTCACAATGACATCAAGCACATTAATTTCTTATGTACCATCTTCATTATGACAGAAGTATAAGGAGATCAAGTACATTGATTTCTTATGTACCATCCTCACTATCACATAAGTATAAGGAGATCAAGTACATTGATTTCTTATGTACCATCCTCACTATAAGATAAGTATAATAAGATCAAGTACATTGATTTCTTTTGTATCATTCTCACTATCACATAAATACAAGGAGATCAAGTACATTGATTTTTTATGTACCATACACAAAAATGTATGTCTATAAACGCAATGATTAAATAAGCTGTTTTCCAGGCATTTGGCAATGTTCTATCACTCGTTCCACTTGCTGAAAGCGTTGTTAAGTTGAATGCTGTGTGTATGAACTGTTTTAAGGATGCTGCATTTTCTATGAGATTGGGGAGTGAAACACAGGTGATGAGAATACAACATCACTAAACATATAGAGAAGTATTTAAGAATTCCTGCTCAGTGACATAGCCAGTTGGCATGGTCTTGTCATGTAAATTTTACAACGTTATAATTATTCATTACTTCGGAATTCTATTTTTTTCGTAGTGAGTGAACAGGAAAAATTAACATAGCAGGATTTACCTAAGCAGACTGGCTGTGCCGTACACGTGTTGCTCCTACTAAACTTTCTCTGTTTCAACAGGTTAAATTAATAGGAGGAGCAGAAAGATACTGGTCTGTTTGCAGAGAATGTTTTCATCTGCCAAAGTACTACGATATTGTTATGAAATTGCAAAACACTCATGATCAAAACTGACAAATACAACACTTATGGCTTTTCCACAAAAGGACATTGGATCATGCGCTCGTGAAATGCACGAAGATAGCAATCCACATTGCCGTATTCCTTGTTCCCGATTATCATTAATCGCGTTTCCTTTCTCGCGTAATAGAGTGAATAGAATCATAGAATGACAGTGAAAACTTAATGCTTTTTTAGCAAACTTTCTTACGTATCTAATCAGCTTCACGTCAGGTAACCCATTTCCCTTAGTTAGAATTTTAATTCAAGGTTCTATAATTTAGATATTTGCTTCAAGATATTAATTAGCCCGACAAGCGTTGCGAAATGCCTAAAATATTACGCATTTTACACAATTTCAAATTGAGTTTAATCTTCATTGAATGAAACGACTCCTGAATATGTACTAAATTACTATACGTACGGCGCTCGAGCAAAAATCACAGTGTATCCATCAATGTCACTACAACCCCTGTTTCAACCTACGTAACAAGTCCAAATTACACAAAACTGCTTTCTTTCCATTAGCTACGTTTTGACGCAAAAGTTTTTAAGCAGGTCTTCTTGTTGGGACAAATAAGTTACACAAAGTAGATTACCACAAGGACTTATTCATAAGTCATTATTTGAATCCACAATCCTTAACTTGGGGTGAGAGTTGTTTCAGTGTTTCACTCATTCACCATATACGCTACACGAAACCTCGCCGTACCCAGGCCACGCAAATGTTTAAAGACCACGTAATTTTGTCCATACACGTGACTTAATAACGTGTACAATTATGACATAACTATGATAAGCAACATAATTATGATTTTCGTCATGACGCTAGTTTATTCATAAAAGTGTTGAGATCATATTCTTGTTCGTACTGTCCTTCGTCCCACAGTTCGCCTAAATTCTCCAGAATCTCGGACATCGATGTTTTTGCTGATGATTTACTAGCAGTTGACTTTTTCTCTTTCTTATTATCGACTGTGAACAAGTCTAACATATTTGACGTATCCATGGCGGCAAAACTTGAGTTTTCCTGGGTGATGACCGTATTCGCGATGTTCAGTTTGAATTTTTGAAGTCTTTTGCAAAAAGAGAAAAGAAAATCATTACGACAGAAAGCATTCGTTCTATAGGCCCTAGGTAGAGAAACTGTTTTTTTTAACTTATCAAGTAAATTGCATTTTGGATTGAACAGTCCGGAGTTGTTCTTCCCAAAGATCTAAAGATTGCGACATTCATAAGCAAACTAGAAGTACTTCATGTAGAAATCTTATAAAAACACATAAGTCCACCAGTGCACTAATACTGCAATTTTACTACAAATAATGCATTCAAGATCATCTTCATTTCTTGTTGTCAAAGGTATTATCACACAAAGAAGCCTTAAATCATAAACTACACTAATTTCATACCAACAATATCTCTATTTCCTGTTACCAAAGGCACCTGCTCACACAACCTTTAAAACATTCTATACTACACTAACTTTAAACTAGCTCTGCTGTTCTACATTTAAACAAATCATTCGTGATCATTTCAACGGAGAACATTACCCCATTATCTTTTCCTCGAGGGTTCCACGCGTGATTAGTCTGTAGACGTTGACTACTTTCTTCTGTCCAATACGATGGGCTCGGTCCATGGCCTGCGCGTCCTTCATTGGATTCCAGTCGTGCTCAACAAATATCACAGTGTCTGCTCCAGTGAGATTAAGACCCAGACCTCCGACGTGCGTCGTCAAAAGTAAGACATCGATTGAAGGATCATCGTTAAATCTGAAATGTCGAACACATGTCACAAATTTGTAAATTGAAAACGTTGTTTAGAGATGTATTTTGTATAGAGATGTGCGTTGTCTGGATGTTCGTTGCTTATAAATGTTGTGTAGATGTTTGATTTATGCTGTGTATTAAGAGATGTTTGTTGTTTACATTACAAAAGAGTTAGTATTTTCCATCATGAACTAATCTCTCTGCAAATGCAAAACACTAAGTTGGGCTATATGCTGCTGATAGAATCATCTGTTGATATAAATGAGTACCTTTGAACAAGCGAATGTCGTTGGCCAGCCGCTGTACTACCATCTAAACGGAGATACGTCACAGTGGGCATATGACACCTGAAAAAGACAGATTTTACTTCAATAAAATTGACATCAAACACAAAAAATTCATAAAACTCGTTCCAAATGTTTGGGAAAAAACCTCGCAACAAAAAAGGGTCATTTCGAAGTAGAGACATGGCAGGTTTCAATCCGCTTGATTATAATTCAAGATAAAACATTAAAATGGGCGTAATTACTGGATTTTAGCCTGTAGTAAGGAAACTGACAGATAAACTTACATAAGTAGATTTGCATATATGCGTAAAATATAGTACATTATAGTTAAAACAGCGACACTAAATTCTTTGTTTCAAGGTTTCACTGTTATCAATGAACATATTTCTCGGTAAAAGCAAAACATACTTGAATAGATCACTCTCGATGATATCCAACATGCTTTTGAACTGACAGAAAAGCAAAACGCGATGTTGCGACACAATTGCTTCCGTTTCTGAGGACTGACTAACTCCAATACCGCAATCTTGAAGAAGTTGCCTACAATAAAACGGTTTGGGCCGATCAACTTATACACAACGTTAATTAAACCTGCTTCTAAAATTCGTTTGTTATGATTCATAAGACTTCACAGGGATCAAGGAAGGGATTCCATATCACAGCAGTTTAAAGTCTGTCCTGTTATTGATGGAAACAAAGTGATTTTCTGATAAAAAGAATCAGATTCTTTGAAACGAGATCTAGACATATTGTCTTATCCAGCAAGAGGCTAAGATTGTCAGTTTTTGTAAACTGAGTTAGAAAGCATTACAAAATTAATGTAAAACAGCAGCGGATGTTTAATCTCTAATCCATGCAGCAAAAACTTTTACGAATCCTAAAAAACACTGGGTTAATAATTCAACTTACATCAAAAGTTAATAGCTATAACATCATTCACTTGACAAACAAGACAGTACTGTTTCTAACAGTTTAAAAAATGCTTTTGAAAGTGCGATAGCACAAGATAGCCGGAAGTGTTTAAAGCAAGAGCTTACCTTAAAGCAACCAGTTTACTGGCGTTATTAATGTCATGAAGTGATGTCGCCTGATTCTTTAGCTGTGCCATGATTCGCTCATATTCAGGATGAGTGGGAGTTAAAACTAGGGCAGGATGGTTACATACTTTCCTCAAGTATTGAAGAGCCTAAAAAAAAGAAAAAAAGGTTAACTTGAAGAAAACTCATCACAAAATTAGAAATTTCCTCAATGAAAAATTTTCATTCATAAACAACAGAATACTTTTTCATTCCTAACTTTCATGATTAACATAAATACATTGATTTATTAAGCTCACAATTTTTCACACAACGCCTTTTCAATTGTCTTTTGATTATTTTCAGAACGTTTTTAATGATACCAAAAACAAAGATGGCGCCAAACGTTTCAAATATACCATTCTCTTTTTTGTAAAAAAATAATCTAACTCCGCAAGGGGACAGTGAACGTGTAGAGTAAAAAACTAAAAAATTAAGTAACCTGGAAAACGTGCGTCGATCCTCTCTTTTTGTCAAGCTTTTCACCATCTTCATTCAGATTGCTCTCTACATCTTGTTTCGCTTTGCTCTTCGCAAAATCTTCGTATAATTGCAGCTAAGACAGAAGATGGATTTTATCGTAGATAAAAATGCTTCAAAAGATAGTTGATGGACATTCATGATAAAGAAATTAGACTAAGAGTGTATTAGGACATAAGTTTCTACGTCAGATCACACCTGTTGAAGACAACAGTTTTTGATAGGAGGACATAATGCTACTTCGCATTTATCGCAAAACGTCGGCAATAGAACTTTTACGACGTTGGCGAGCGCTTACGATTAGTGAGAACGCATTCAAAATAATCCGAATTTACTGTGACGGTCGCCAAATTCTCGCAATCATCGCCGATCATTGCCGACACATACTTGCTTGAAAAATCTTTTAGCACGAGAATCTGTTCAGTCAGGCAAGTTCAGGGACAACTTATATTAAAAACAATTGAATCTGCACAGAAATTATCAGCTTAAGATTAATAGGAGCCATTTTTCTTTGGTATAAATGTCAAAGCGTGTACACTTATATATCATCGACGATTTATGAGAGCGTTTTGTGCACTGGCCATCACCGACCATCGGCGATAAACATCGCCTATTCTAGCGACGCCTTGCGATGAGTGAGAAGAAGGCTTATGTTTGAACATCAGATCACTTCTGATGAAGACATTACGCTGAAGTATGTAAGAGGTTAATTTTAAACATCAGAATGATCGAATCACTCCTGAATAAAGATACTAGACTGGAGTGTAAAAGCACACAAATTTCAACATCAGCCCGATAAATACACAGTCGAGAAAAAATAGGGAGTCAAGTTTTAACATTGGATCACTTCAGATGAAGACACAACACTGGAGTATATACGTAAGAACTTAAGTGTCAACATCAGATTATTGCTCAACATATAACTCCAAATAGACACATCATGCAGCTAAATTGAAACATTTAGTTATCCTAAAGTTAAGTGTTAGGTGTATTACCTGTAATGGAGATAGCTCACAATAATAATCCTGGATAATTTTTGGAGGTAAATCTTGTAAGACATCTTCTTTCATTCTTCGTAAAAGGAATGGTAAAACTTGACGATGTAGGGCCTCCATAGCCAATGCACCTATAAAAATTGCATTTCATTATCTTTTGGTTGCAAGTTATTTCGATAATCAAAAACATCTCGATTCTGAAGACATTTTTTTTCAATTATGAGAGACAGCAGAAAAAATCGTTCAATAAAATTAAATTACACCTTCCTCTTGCTCTTTCGACGAAGATTTTGCGTCTCTGCTCATCAAAATCGGTTTTCCATATTGCGCTTGAAATTTTTTCTCGCTGCCCAAGAAACCAGGCATGAGGAAATCAAACAGCGACCACAATTCAAGAACATTGTTCTAAAAGTGTTAATTATGACAATTAATGTATTATAATGTATGTCAGAGATGATAAAGCCAACGCCGTGGGTAGTGATATACTTGGGGGTGAGGGTGGGGTGGGTTTTATTAATATATACAAGGTATTCTCCACAGAAAACAATTGATTTGACACGAGCATAATACATAAGGACAAGCATGAATGATCTAGCTGGCTATACCACTGATGACGACAAGCCATTTTTGATGTGTCATGAGGTTGCCAACGCATTTACACAAAAAACTCTACGCAAATCTAATTCAACAAATATTTCACTCATAAAATTGTTAATGTATTATTGCCTAATGCAATGCCATAACCAGGATCTCTATCTCTAAAGATTTTACAAGAATAATGACCAAATAAAATAAATTAATCAATTTAAGTAATAAATTAATTGTTTATTAAACTAATCATAATTAACAATAATAATATATTAAGTGATTAAACCATCAATTAAAGAATTTTCAACAAAATTGTTCATTTCTTTCGAAAATTCGTTGTAGTCATTTTTCTTCTGAATGAACACAAGAATTTTCAGAAATTTTAAGGACTGGCTTCGCTAATCATAAAACAAACCTGTATTGGCGTTCCTGACAAAATAAGACGATGATTGGCTCGTAATTCTTTTATGACTTTAGACATCTAATGAAATTAAAGATGGTGAGCAAAATGACAGAAGTTATAAAAAGGTTTGCGTGCGCACTAAAACAACGTGTTCACATACTTTTGTTTTTGCATTCTTTATGATGTGTCCTTCGTCCAAAACGCAGTAATTCCAGGAAATCGATCTATTTGATAAGAATCATCCTAGTTGGAACTTAAGTCTTGGTATACTCTAGTGTAATGTCTTCATCATGAGTGATCTGATGTTGCAACTTAAGTTCCTAAATACCCCAGTCTAGTCATTTGATAAGAATCATCCTAGTTAGAACTTGAGTCTTGGTATACTCTAGTGTAATGTCTTCATCATGAGTGATCTGATGTTGCAACTTTAGTTCCTAAATACCCCAGTCTAGTCATTTGATAAGAATCATCCTAGTTGGAACTTAAGTCTTGGTATACTCTAGTGTAATGTCTTCATCATGAGTGATCTGATGTTACAACTTAAGTTCTTAAATACCCCAGTCTAGTGATCTTATCCTCAAACTTAAGTTGTTAATGTTATATACTCAAGTCAACTATCTTAATGAGTAATAACGGATTTAGGGAAGGTCAAAATACATTACTAAAAACATATTTTTAATTTAAAGTAGAGCTTATTCTCTTGGAGTATTTTAGCCTTAAATAGGCTTTACAAAGTATTTTGAATTTAAAATGAGCCTCTATAATTTATTTCAATCTAACTTGGATCTGCCAGTGTTTTGGAGGAAATATCTAAAGTATATCCAATGTTCAAACTTAAGTTGCTAAACATATACTCCAGTCTAGTGCCATCAACTACAATTGTGTTTCTTATGTGAAAGTTGAATCTGTAAACGGCGAACGGGTGAAATTAGAGCTTACTTGAAAAAGTCACTGTCATTACGAACAATATCATAAGACGCTACAACAAGATTATGTCGCTTGACTTTCTCCCTCAACCTTAAACAACAAAAATGCAAATTTCACAGTCAATGAACGAATCAATCAACTACTCGATTAACCAATCGATTGGTCATTCAATCAATCAATTAATTAATCAATCAACTAATCAATCAACAATCTGACATAAAAGAACTGGAAAAATAGCAATATTCTTTATTTAAAATAATTGTGGGAGCCGGAAAAGCTCTTACTCATCACAAATACTTGCCTTATTGTATTTTAAAACAAACAAAAATACTCCACCAATGGTGCATTGAATTTTTACATAATCCTACCGAACGCCTTTCCATTTAAAGGAAGTCACTAATATTAAATGTCATGATTTGCTATTTTCATGGTCTAATACTTCGGGGGTACGAAAAATCAATAAATGTCATACTGACAAAAATCATTCAATCCAAAAAATTTAGTGTCAACTTGCCGGTATCTTTCTCCCGGTGATCCAGTATAATGCAACGGATTAAGGAAGTCTTTAGTGACGAACTTTTCGACCTCGTAACACCAATGACCGGTGAGGGTAGGAGGACAAACCACAAGAGATGGCAAAATTTGATGATTGTTCCCGTCGTGCTGAAAAAATCTCCGTTTCATTAAAAATAGTAAGTCAATAAAACATGCAGGTTCAAACAGGTATGTAGGATTGATTATCCTAGTTCATAAACTCAATATGACGAACTCTACAATTAACTGCACATATTGTTGTAGCCAAAGAGCGTCGGAAACAAGGCTCATGGACCTAATAATAAAATAAACTTAACATTTTGTAAGTTAATTTTAAAATCTTCCAATGATTCCGCTCTTCGAATGTCAATGTACAGATCAATAAATGTTTTGACACCAATAAAGTAGAAACCCTTTTAGTTCAATAAAGGCGTATTTTTGAAGACGTATCAAGCTCTTATTATTTCTTGTAGCGTGAAATGACAAAATATTGTAAAATGACAAAATATTGACGGAAAGGAAATACATAAAACCGTAGATGTGAAAAAATTATTAACAAGCCTCATTTATTACACATCAAAGGAATTTTTATAATTATACATCTTCATACCCCAAACAATTATATGAAGAACGAAGTCAAGTTTTTTTCATTGAAAAGGGACAAGACAAGAAAAGCCAAAATCGTGTTATTTGGTATGAAAAGGCTAACCTAATAATCCACAAACGCTCTGTATATTTGGCCTGAGAAAAACTCGTTGACAAATAAAAAAGACACAATATGTATTAGTGGCTGTGCTCTTTTACATTTTTCTTTTCTCTTAATTACTTACACCTCGCAACAGTGGTCGTTGTTAACCCACATGCCGCGTGGAATCTAGTGTAAATCCAGGTAACTTATGGGCAGTGTGACCATGCATGCAAATGTTTTACCAGATTCGGTCGAATGAGCTTAAACACTTTCCCTGTTCTGAACTTTGCAACGACACAAAGCAGGCTGGAGTAAAGGTTATTAGACCAAATCAAGTGAAAACAATTTGAAATTTGCCACACTGCTTATGGGTGCCTTCACTAAACTATATTGGGAACAGGAAAGGCTTATGGATACAAAAACTGTACCGCTTAAATGTTACGATACCTTCTGTTTTGGTTTTAGTCAAAAAAAAATATGCAAACCTCGTTGATAGCAACTTTTTTCTCATGGTGGTCACCAGCTACCATACAGATCGTCTGAAGAGTCTTACCCAGTCCCATATCTAACAAAGAAAACAATTGATATTCTTCACGCCAATCATATTGCATGTCTGATACAAAAGAATATTTTATCTAATTGTGAACTCGAGCAGGTGTGGACAAATGTTGTTTGGTTAATCCCATGCAAAACATTAGTTGCAGGTGAAGAATAGACAAATTTAGCATTCAGGCACATTAGGAAAACAAATTAATAATCATACCATCACAGAGTATACCATGGAGTTTGTATTTCCTCAGGAACGCTAACCAATTTACACCATCCTGTAAAATATAATATCTTAAAAGAATACTAACCTCGTTACCAAGCCCTTTTCAATAACCTAACCCAGCTGTGAAAGCAAAAGGCCCTGGAGACAAGTTTTGACAACAACGTAACAGAATAATATATTTCCAAATATAAAGAGATGGGCAATACGACAAGTTCAAGGTTTAAACTGGCGCGGGAGGGTTTGGTCATCAAAAACTACATATCATAAAAACTACATCCCTCTTAAATAACAAGATAAGACTTTCACTTACAAAGTGCGAAAAAAATATTGCCTTCGAGTGAAATTAATAAAATTACGGAGATGTCAGCACTTTAATTTACTTTAAAACTTCAACCACTCTATAAAAGTAACTTCAGTTTCGGTTTTGAAAATGGTAGCGGAGTTAGCCTTCCAATTTTATAACAAAGAGACGCCGGTTGTATCGTTTCGTTGTGTAAGTGAAGTTTCGGTCAAGCACAAAGACAGAGTGGTTGATCAACAACTTTAAAAACAAATCCCTACGCGTTCGAAATACTATCTACTAAGTCGACCAAAAAACATTCACCTTACCTGTTGATACTTTCTTAATTCTGCCTTGATTGGTACAGGAACTATGAAATTATCTAAGCTAGCTTCGCCGAACAATTGTTGTAGAAAATGTCTTTCCTTGTCACGTTTACAGCTCAGTGATTCTGACAGTTGCACAGATTTCGAGGATGACTAAAGGAATGTACGAAAGTTTGTCGTTTTAGCTACTGTCCTAATGAAGGGAAATATGGTAGTTCACACAAGCATAAAAAAAAAGACGGGGAAGAGGCTTCATATTTGTGTTGGGTGTCATTATTACCATCTCTTGTATGACTTCTGCACATCTAAGAGTGTAAACTACAGCTCGATATTGCTATATAGTAGTCTATTGATTGTTAAAAAAATATTCGCTCCCCCCAAATATTTTACCAGCTTCCATAAGCTATACACACGAGTTGAAAAGAGTAAAGAAATGATACAAGGATGCTCATCAAATCTACAAATTAATATAGCTTCAGTGCAGTAGAAAATGTAAATTATTGTCACGCATAAGATAACAATAGTCAATATCTCACCTCTAGAGGAATTAGACTTATTAAGGTTGCAAAGCATTGAGCCGCCATGAGTCTCACATGCTCCGAGTAATCACTCATTGCTCCTAACGTTGGAATGATGAGCAAAACTGTGTAAGGTATAACATCAACTTGAAGACAAGTCGTAATGTCTGATGGCTTTAGTTAAGAAACATATGATGGTTGACATATAACTGTTAGTGTTCTGCCATAACCCCATTCACACGACATATAAACTATCCCGGTTTTAAGCCAGGTTTATATTTTGCGTGTAACCATTACTAACCAAAGTTTATTTGAGATGGGTTGAGTTTGATCTAGGTTAAATCTGGGTTAGTGGTGTTTAAATGCAGAAAAAATAAACTTGCGTTGAACCCGGGTTAGTTTATGTAGTGTGAATAGGGCCCATGACTTGTAAACATAACTTGCTCTTGTTTGATATCTTCATGTCAGAGATGGCGTATACTAAATCAAAGATGGTAAAAGCAATCTACTTGATCTCCTTATACATATGTCATAGTGAGGATGGTACATAAGAAATCAATGTACTTGATCTCCTTATATTTATGCCATAGTGAAGATGGTACATAAGAAATTAATGTATTTGATCTCTTTATACTTATGTCATAGTGAGGATGGTACATAAGAAATCAACGTACTTGATCTCTTTATACTTATGTCATAGCGAGGATGATACATGAGAAATCAATGTACTTGATCTCTTTATACTTATGTCATAGTGAGGATGGTACATAAGAAATCAATGTACTTGATCTCCTTATACTTAAGTCATAGTGAGGATGGTACATAAGAAATCAATGTACTTGATCTTCTCATACTTATGTCATAGTGAGGATGGTACATACGAAACTAATAATAATTGTAGCATTAAAAAACTGGAGGAAGCCCTCTGATTAGATTAAAGGATTATCTCAGCTTCGTATGTAAATAAAAGGATACAATATATCGTCTCTATTGCTCCCTCTCGACCACCAACATTCTCCCCATCATTTAGAAGGGGAATAACTTTTTCCAATAAAATCTCCATCACGTTTGAACTAAACAATATGCTCAATGTTCCCACTACTCTCGCAGCCATGTGACGTACGCTGTTGTACGGATGTACAATACACTGAAGGATTGTGGGCATAAGATCGAAAATCTAATGGAAATACAGGAACCATAACATTGAGATCATTGCACTGGCTATACAACTGGACCTCTACATATAGTTACTCTAACAGTTGTGACCAAGCCTTATTTGTTAGCATAAAGGTAGAAGTTGCTAAGTTACAATTTTAGATAAGTGTTTAGGATAGGAGTTTCATCCACGTAGTTCTCTTATATCATTGCAAAGATCATTTAAAATGACTTAACAACTTTTGTCATATAGTGTGTTAGTTTAAATCTTTCTAAAAACATTTAAATTCGTTTAGTACATCAATAGTATCACTGTCACATCACATTGCACAATTAGCTTCAAAGAACAGTAGTTTTCATTGATAATTTGCACAAAATATCCAAATTTTGCCTCCTACACATACCCTCTACTCGTGAAATTATTAAATGGTATATATCCATGAACGAATTTCACACCTTTTTCTGTAAGTTTTCGTGAAGAGCTGGAATAAGAAGTTCCAGTAACTGTAACGTGTTTACAATTTCTTGAGCCGACGTAACGTTGTTGCGAAGTTTTTCAACATCTAAAAAGCGAAAAATATTTACGCCAAAACTCTTTTAAAGGTTGCGTAAATACAACATTTCTGCTTGTTGCATATAAAGTGTTTCAATGAAATGAAACCTGAACGGTAAAATCTAGCATAAAATTAAATCTCTTGGCAGCAAAATATAAAAATAAAAACATGCAATATTCTAACACTAAACTTTTATAAGTCTTGATCGCTACATTTTCCCATCATTCAGAAAGCAAAGCATACAATGACTTCTAACTACGTCCGTTTCTCACCCTCTTCTGAAAGATTCCTTCCAAGAGTTTGTGTCAGCCATCCCAAAGTTCGGGATTTTGCGGCAAATCCTCCTTGAAATGTCTTGCAATATTACGTAACGTTATCTCCGACCCAATCCTTTGCAGTCGCACGTTCTTTCTATGCTAAAATCATGACAGGTGTATGTAAGGATAAAGATGGACTGGTGTGACAACTTAAGAGGTGACAGGATAAAAGGAAAATTTTGGGTTAAAAAGGATAAAAGAAACATTATATTGGAAACTTTAGAAGACGAAATATAATGTTGTATAGTTAAGACGGACATGGTGGATAGTGTTAAGGAAGGATAAGGTGGATCTTTGAGATATTTGGAGGGAAAATAGAGACCGATGTATGGAGAGCAAAGAGGTGAGAGAGAGAGATATTTGAAGAGAAAACAGAAAGAGGTATTTCAATGCGAAACAGATGAAAATACAAAAAGGGCAAACAGAGAGTGAGAGAGAAAAAGAGAGAGATTTGGGGAGCAAACACATATAGATACAGATACATTGAGGATAAACAGAGGTCAGAGAGCGATAGTTGGAGAGTGAACAGAGAGAAAGATTTGGAAAGCAAACAAAAACAGATACATTGAGGATAAACAGAGGTCAGAGAGCGATAGTTGGAGAGTGAACAGAGAGAAAGATTTGGAAAGCAAACAAAAACAGACACATGGAGGTTAAACTGAGCTCAGAGAGCGATAGTTGGAGTGAGTGAAGAGAAAGATTTGAAAGCAAACAAAAAGACACATGGAGGTTAAACTGAGGTCGAGAGCGATAGTTGGAGAGTGAACAGAGAGAAAGATTGGAAAGCAAACAAAACAGACACATGGAGGTTAAACTGAGGTCAGAGAGCGATAGTTGGAGTGAACAGAGAGAAAGATTTGAAAGCAAACAAAACAGACACATGGAGGTTAAACTGAGGTCAGAGAGCGATAGTTGGAGAGGAACAGAGAAAAGATTTGGAAAGCAAACAAAAACAGATACATGGAGGTTAAACTGAGGTCAGAGAGCGATAGTTGAGAGGAATAGAGAGAAAGATTTGGAAAGCAAACAAAAACAGACACATGGAGGTTAAACAGAGGTCAGAGAGCGATAGTTGGAGAGTGAACAGAGAGAAAGATTTGAGCAAACAAGTTCAGATACATGGAGGGTAAACTGAGGTCAGAGAGCGATAGTTGAGAGGAACAGAGAGAAAGATTTGGAAAGCAAACAAAACAGACACATGGAGGTTAAACTGAGGTCAGAGAGCGATAGTTGAGAGTGAAACAGAGAGAAAGATTTGGAAAGCAAACTAAAACAGACACATGGAGGTTAAACTGAGGTCAGAGATAGTTGGAGAGTGAACAGAGAAAGATTTGGAAAGCAAACAAAACAGATACATGGAGGTTAAACTGAGGTCAGAGATGATAGTTGGAGTGAACAGAGAGAAGATTTGAAAGCAAACAAAAACAGACATGGAGGTTAAACAGAGGTCAGAGAGCGATAGTTGAGAGTGAATAGAGAGAAAGATTTGGAAAGCAAACAAAAACAGATACATGGAGGGTAAACTGAGGTCAGAGAGCGATAGTTGGAGAGTGAACAGAGAGAAAGATTTGGAAAGCAAACAAAAACAGACACATGGAGGTTAAACAGAGGTCAGAGAGCGATAGTTGGAGAGTGAACAGAGAGAAAGATTTGGAAAGCAAACAAAAACAGACACATGGAGGTTAAACTGAGGTCAGAGAGCGATAGTTGGAGAGTGAACAGAGAGAAAGATTTGGAAAGCAAACAAAAAACAGATACATGGAGGTTAAACTGAGGTCAGAGAGCGATAGTTGGAGAGTGAATGAGAGAAAGATTTGGAAAGCAAACAAAAACAGACACATGGAGGTTAAACAGAGGTCAGAGAGCGATAGTTGGAGAGTGAACAGAGAGAAAGATTTGGAAAGCAAACAAAAACAGATACATGGAGGGTAAACAGAGGTTAGCAAGAGATATTTGGAGTGAGAACGGAACACGATATTCAAAGGTCAAAAGATATATTTAGAGAATAGACCGAAAATGACATTTGGATGGTAAAAATTGTAAGTACCTAAAAGTACCTCCTCATCTTTTTGTGTGTCATTCACTGACGACGGCATGTCCGAGGCAACACCAACTTTGGATACATCTTTCTTGGTGTTAGATAAATTACTCTACAATAAAATAATATTCACTTATGTCAAAACTTACAAACTTCTATAGTACATAAAAAAACACATTTGACATCCACATAAATTTAACCAAACCAACAAAGTTTTTCAATACATATAGGTTACTGATATGCCCCTGTGAAAAAGGCGATATGTTTAGAGCACCAATGCACGACGATGTACGATTTTTTAAAGTGCTAACGTATGAAGCGAAAATTTTACTTTTTGAATTAGATTTTTATCAAACAGAATTTTTAAAACGAAAGTGGACTTTCTAAAACAATTTTTGCTTAACTCTTTTCAGTCTCGGGATATTAAAGTTTTTGTTTTTGTTTCAAATGTCCAATTTTGTACAACCAGTGACGGCATAATGAATAATGAGAATATTAATTACCCATTGTATTCGATTATATTTTACTACGACCGCACAGGTTTGCCTTCGCTAAATAGTTTTAATGGTATAAAATTCTTCCGAAGAATTTCATCTGAAATTTTCCTGGAAACTAAGGATATTTAAAGTTTTCGGCAACTTATTATATACTATAACGTCCCTAGTTGTGCAAAACTGGACATCGGCAAAAACTGGAATATATTGAAAGTGAAAACAAATATTCGTAAACTGTTTTAGAAAGTCTACTGTGAATTTAAAAGTTCTGTGAAACATATTTATAATTTAAAAATCAAAATTTTGGCATCGAGAGTTTTTGAGTACATGCACAAAAAATCACGTGACATTTGATGTTGATAATGAACACTCACTTTGTTCTGCTTATATAAAGTAATTATGCCAGTGTAGCAACTGTCCATTTCTATATTCGTTGATCCAGAATGGGAGTTTGAAGGAGTTTCCATTTGGCGCGCGATGATTGGAGTCTGGTTAGGATCGTTGCAAGCATACGAGCAAAGATTCTTTACAATTTTTGCATTGGGACATGGCATTCTTTGAAGACAACATTCCAACAACTTGGTTAAGTTACAGGCGGCAAATTGCTAAAAATTGCGAAAAACGAAATTTCGCCATTCAAAGAAAATGAACTTCTAGTTCTAAACTAAGTCATTTAATCGCCTACCAAATTTCTTACCTATAAATTAATTTCTAATTCTCACAATATCACCAGCTCAAAAATCAACCTCCACTCCTTAAACAATTCAATGTCCGTATTCTATCATTATTAGTTATTCAAAAATCAATTCACTAATCACTACACAAAAATGAAAACAAGTGTTTCTCTGCGGAACCCGTTCTTTCTAACTTTTCCCCAAAACCCATCCCCTCTGACTCCATTGATCCTAAATATTGTAAACATTTAGCCCCCTCCCCCCTGACTCCATTCAACATTGTCTAGTTTAGCAAGAGCTTACCTGCATGCCTGCATCCTCTTCCTTTTTTATAGCCTCCATTAACGGTCGAATGATCGGGTTGAGTTTGGAAGGTAATGCGTTCATTGTGACGAGAGCCCCAGCAATGACGGAAGATACACTAAAGTAGAAAGAATATTTTTCAAATACTTATTTAACTCACATAACATGCTCTAGTCTGATGTCTTTAAAAGAAGTGATCTAATGTAGAAACTGGAGTTGTTATGTAGCCCGAATTCTATTACCATGAAGCCAACAATTTAATAAAAAATACAACGAAACAAACTCCGAATACAATTTACATCTTTAGTTTAACATTTGCGATAAAAAAGAGATAATATCTCATGATGAATTCGTAATAAATTCAAAATATTACTACATTATTTACACTTCATATCTGTGAGGAGTGATCAAACGTTGAAACTTTTCTCTTAATAAACTCAAGTTTATAGTGTCTTTCTCACGAGTAACCTGACGTTAAAACTTTGGTCCTTTTATGCTCCAGTCAGGTGTCCTCATAAGGAATCATCTGATTATGAATCTTTAGTCTTTATTTATTCAAGTAAAATGTCTTTATCAGGAGTGACATAATTTTAAAACTTGAGTCCTTATATACTCCTGGTCTAACGTCTTCATCATGATTAATCTGATGTTGAAACTTGACTTATACACTCCAGTCTAGTGTCTTCATCAGGAGTGATCTGATGTTGAAACTTGACTTCTTATACACTCCAGTCTAGTGTCTTCATCAGGAGTGATCTGATGTTGAAACTTGACTCTTATACACTCCAGTCTAGTGTTTCATCAGGAGTAATGCACTGGAGTGATGTCAGAAACTTCATGACTTCATGACAAAAGATATAATTTTTGGGACAAGTTCATAACAAAAAGAATGTTATAACTCAACAATATACCGAATGCTGTGTTTCTCATATTCACTCTGTAGTTGTCCAATAGTTGATACAAGATGTTGACGCTTGCCTTCAAGAGCCTTTAATAACACCAAATCAAATAAAAAATTCAGTAAATTATAACTTGAAACAATTTAAATATCACTGACGATACACTTTAAAGAATGAGTATCAGGGTCATGCTTTGCGAGCTTAATGTTATGTTTTCATATACGGGAAATTTCGGGCACTTTCGCGGGATAAGCAATCCGATGCATATTCAGTAGAGATTTTGTTTCGTTTTTGACTTATGTGATCATATTTATTTATAGGAAGCATTTATGGTTGATAGTTTGACTGTTGCTACGATATTCACGCCGTATTTACATGCTGTACTTTTGTACTTAAATCAAACATATTACAGCAGCCATTTTCGGGGTCCTTTAAATGGCCAACCAAGCGCAAAGCATTACCTTTGAGTCCCTTAAAATGACCAACCAAGCGCGCAAAGCATTGACCCTGATACTCATTCTTTAAGACAAAATAATTGCCCACGCAAACTAGTCTGCGCATGCTCAACACAGGTTCGAAATCAAAAACAAAAGTTTCTTTTAACGCTAAAACGCACTATAGAACAGACCTGCGATAAGAGAATGACGAAACCCGCTAAAAACATTTCAGTAATACAAAAATTACTTACACTGATGTCTTTGGACGGTAAAATTTTTACAGCTTCTTGAAAAACATTAGAGACAAGAGCTGAAGCAGATTCAATTGTGTGATAACTACAAAAAACAACATTTTTAGTTATGTCGTTAAAAGCTAAAACGTAATGCTAAATATAACAAATACTTAATGTGAACATTTCATTTCTATAGAGCGGTAAATGGATTTCTTCCAGTTTAATATTGATGACGGTAACTTTTTCAAGCGTTTTAAAAATCGTTATTATACATTGTGTGCAATAAATGGAACGTAGAAATCTTTGATCAATATTTAATATTATTAATTGCTCCTTTAAATTGACCATTCCTTTAAATTGCACTGATTGGTTCTTTAAATTGACCGTTCAATGCCATTGATTGTCACGCTCAAATCCGACGTCAGTTGGTACTGAGTGTTCTCTTCAAATCCAAACGTCTTCATAATTAAGAGATTTTTAAAACGATATAAAAAATCTTGAATTTGTTCAACCGCCCTTACTTCACTGGGGCATAAAGTAACAATGCGGCCATGCGGATGAGACATTTCACTATGGGGCAGTTTTAAAGAACTCAAACGTATTTTAATAAAATCGGGAGGAAAATGTTTAATTCGGTAAATTTTTGGAGAACATGGCGACAAATTGAGTGATGTATTTTACTCTCCGGTAAAAAAGAACGCGTAACGAAGTAGCAACAAAGGTTTCTTTCACTTCCCATTAACATGCATGGCAGGAAAGTTTTCTCGTGATTTTGCTCAGTCACTTGAAAACATTAAATGGACAAAATTGTAAACAAGAGAATTTCTCTTACTTTGAATTATTCTGGGGTGAAGTGCTGATTCCTTTCTCTTGAAACGTGTTTTGCAAGTTCTTAGAAAATAAAAACAAGGTTACATTGAGTTAGATAAATGCTCTTTCTCATCGATAGAACTTAAAACCGGGGGGGAAACAAGGCAAATAAATCACAAACCTGACAATCCGTTTGCAATCTCGTAAATAATAAACTGACTTCATCGTAAACGACAGACGAGGTCAGATTTTCAATAAGTTTGGTAGAAAGCGTAGACAAATGTTTATGATTCTGTGGAAGAAGAAATAGTCGATCAAATTTTAATCTTCAATCATGTCAAACAAGTTTAAATTCTAATCTGCAATAATGTCCAACAAACTCAAGTTCTAATCTTCAACAATGTCAGACAAACTGAAATTCTAATTGTTACTCAAGCCAGAGCTACTCAAGTTCTAATTTTCAATAATATCATACAAACTGAAGTTCTAATTTTCAATGTCAGAAAAACGCTTTTGCCGTTCCATTTATACTTTATCTAACAATATCAAATTATACCTTATCAAGTGAAGCCCATTCTGTGATTGTCATGGAAACAATGATATGTTGAGAAGAGGAGTTTGAACTAAGCGCTCCGTGGAGACATTGCACGATGAGATCCAACACAGCTAAACACGCATCATCACCGAATGTACTCAGATGACAACAAAGGAACCCCAATGCACTACAAAAAGCAAAATGCGTTTTCTTGCAGAAGACAATTCATTGCCATTGTTTTGAATGAAAACACGAAATGTTTAGTAAATTAACAGGACATGGGTGTCAAAGACTTGATCAAAGCTAGCATATAGCTAAAGTTTATCAAAGCTCGACAGTTTTTCTGAAGCAGTTGTTGTTCTACACATAGGAACATTTGAAATGGTGAGCTAAGGCCTTATTCATATCATTCCGTAAAGGCAATTCTTCCATAGAGATATTCCATTGCAAATACCACAATCACCCACCTCACCCCCCGGAAAAAAGAATGATGATGAATGAAAGAGTGACAGCCCCGGTCGTAAAAACTACTGATTACTATGTGTCGTATCAATGGTTACGTTTATTTTGTAAACATAACATAATTTTGAAGAATAATTATGTGTGTAACTTAACGATACAAAATATTTTACTGTCTTAAACAAAAGGTCGTCTTTAAAAACTATAATGGATTTTCTAGTTGACATTGTTTATTGATTGCTCACATTTTGAACTATTGAAATTTTTGAGGTACCATGGCCTACTCAAATTACTGTAATTTGAGTAGGCCATGGAGGTACGTAAAGTAGAAAAATTAGTTACATGTTTGTAAATGTAGATCGTCCAGGTTGGTATACTCCTGAGGACTGTTTTAGTTGTTGTTGACTGACGTTTCGACAACCTTAGCGGTAGTTATCTTCAGAGACATTTTTTTTGACTCTGAAGATGACTACCGCTAAGGTTGTCGAAACGTCAGTCAACAATAACAAAAACAGTCCTTCTCAGGACTATACCAACCTGGACGATCTACATTTACAAACATGTAACGATACTCCCGGGTTCAAACCATTTACTTTATGTAGAGAATTAGTTGTAATTGGTTTTTCATAATCTAAATACATCACAGAAAGTTTTAACAGCTCAAACAATAATTTAAGCCTCGCAACAGTTTTATATTAGAAAATCAAGAGTAAAAATATCATGTCGTCAGCACCATAAAGACGCTAAAAAACTCGCAGCTCTTGATTTATTGCATCAAAAAATTTATTCCCCTTCGTTAAATCAAACATAAAATAAAACATAGCAAACATACCGTGCAGCGGCGTGTCTACAACGTAAGATAATAGCTTCAACTTCAGAGAGAGTTTTACCAACCAACAAACCTCCTATACGGTCAGTAACCACAGCGTTTTTAGCGCCTTCCTGAAAAAAGTCATTTTTTTGGATAATAGCATTCAAAGACTTCCTAAGTTTGTGGCCGGTTGCACGGAGGTCGAAAAGCGTTATAAACTGAATTGTAGCTAATGATTTTCAACGCTTCAAAAATCTTTTAAAAAGGAAAAATCTACGATTTGAGCACGACAATTAATGAAATACAATATTGGTTCTAGAATTACAAAGTTTCATTATCGTAAAGAAAATATAACCAGATTTTTATAAGTTTAAAATATTACCATCATAACGCTACATCTGGCTTCGTGTAACCGGTCGCAAGAGAGTTTGCATAGGACATTTTAAACATTTCTGGCAGAAATCACTGAAATGCTTGCTAAAACCTTCTACTAATTCCAGTGCATTTTCCATCACAATTATCGATAAAAAACCTAAATGACTCAAATAAAAGCGTTTTAAGCATCGACAAAACGACGCTAAACGTGGTTTTTAAGTAACCAAAAAAGGTTTATATCTAAAAAAATTGGTCTACAAATATTTTCGTAGAAAAAGAGAGCTCAAAAATTCAGGAGTAATGTCGGTGAAAACCTAGTAACTAGTCAGACAAGAAGTGTTTCGAAAAGATTTGAGTTTTTCATAATTTAAACGTGAAACATTATTTACAAAAATGACTCTCGCTTTTTCGTCAATTCTTGATGGCAGGGTGAACAAAAACGATACTCTTTAATTTATTCATATGAAAACAATAATTATTACTTAACAAAATTTTCATACATATTATAAGAAAATGCAATATATTATTGATAATATCAATGTAATACACAAAACTAGCAAATATTATTCTAGCAAATGAAGCCATCAGGCCCCAATCTTAAGACCCGAGCTACGTATATTCCTTGTAAACAAACCACAGAGACCAAACAGTTGTAAACAAGAAAAAAACTTTCATAAAATTTTTACAGGTATCAAAAATATCCTTTGATGATCATAACGACCACCTTAACGATACAGTACATCTATAAACCTTACCTTAACTTGTGCTGGAGTGCTGATAACAAGGGCTTCATTGAATTCCGCTGACTTTGGATACATTGATAGCGACAACCAAACATTGCCCCATTGTGACGTCAGATGAGCTACTTGCTTGTATTGTCCACAACGAATAATGCTCCTCCACACCTACAGAGATCAGAGTGAGTTGGCTAAAAGCAAGCACGTCGTACATATTGTAACTCTAATAACATCACCTCTTGAAGCAATCCAAGTAGTTCAATGTCTTGTTCGACAAGAAATCTTTCAAAGCAATATCGCATTGCGTTTTCCAGTATTGGTGTCAACCAGAAATCCAATGGAGCAAGCTAAACACGAAAAAAAACAATTTAAGTTGATTAAAGATCGGCAAGTCAACGTGTTGTTCCACTGATCTATATTGTACAACTTTTTTTTCCCAACTTTAAAGACTTTCAAGGACATTCCAAGCACAAAAACATCAATTTTTAAATACGAAATAAAAATTAAGAGATTTTAATCGAGTGGTACACAGTATACTTGGATTATGCGACGCATGCGTACATGGATTACGATATGTGCCGCATGCGTACAAAAGAAAGTCATGGGAATTTAAAAATGACTATTGTCATCAGCTCGTCATAAGGGCAAATACTGGCAAAATATACGCTCAGTCATTGCTGCAGTAGCATGAGCCCTGTGATGATTGAGTAGTGTAATGGGCTGCATGCCATTGAACTGAATATAACTGGATGATTACCTCCAGCAAAAATTTTAATTCGGCAAATAAGCAAGTCACAATGTTTCATGAACGGCCTAAAGAAAGTTTATCACAACAGTACGCTAAATCCAGGGGCAGTTGCAGGGAGCCTGGATAGCGTTTCCATTCGATAGTAAACATGTGAAAATAGATTTAAAACTTGTGAAAAAATGTGGTTGGATTTTCTTTAGTAAAATGAAACTCTAGAAACAAGATTGTATTTAATTAATTGTCTACTTGAAATCATACATTCTTCTCTTTTAAGAGATTTTTCAACGCAAAGCAAAGCGAGCAGATGTGAAAGGAACGAAATAAATTATAACAAATTATCGGCTAGTGGGAGCCCTTTAAAAAGTGTAGCATATCTACATCTACATCAAAAACCAAATACAGATACAGTAACATCGGACAAATTTTTCGTGTGAAAACGCTTCGATGTAAGAAACAAAAAATATCCATATACATACACGTATATCCACAACAAACCTCATTTGAACGTACATCCGACGTATCAAGGATGACCTTCAAAGTTTGAAGTGTGGCCTCGTACGCACAAGATATTATGACGAAGAAACGGCCACAGTCTGGGTAAGACACAACTCAACGAAATATCTTGACGTCCGGTCACGGCCCATTCCGATTGAGCTCGAGAAGACGATACGATGGCGGCTAACAACATAAGAATGCTACTGGTAGATGCAGAAAGATCATCTAGAAGACACAAGGATTCCCATAGGATCCAAAGGATAGACGGAATCTGAAATAAACATCAAATTCTTCCGTTGTTCGATTTCTGTGCTCTTAAACACAAAAAAAACAACTTGTACTGTAATAAGAGCACAAATTTTAATGAGATACTATCGTGTTATTTACAAATATGATTTACCTTAGCAACGCTCAACTTTAACATTTGATCAACAACTGGTAACATCGCCGTCGCTGACACAGCTCTGACGTCATCATCACAATCTTCTAATCCGGTAGTTAGAGGAGACAGCACGAGAGGAAGTAACTGCTCGGTCATATCTTTCCGAACGGCAAGCAAATACTTGATCCCCAGTAGTCCCCCATGTCTCACTTGCCACTCGTTTTGAGCCTGCAGTGTCAGCAAGATGTTTAATATACTCTTGACTGCTTCACATTTCATATGTTTCACGACAACGCCCAGGGTTTGAGCACAAGTTTCGCGTACTGGAGCAACTACCTAAAGATTTGTGACAAAGATAGGAGCTTACTACACAGAAGTTCATCACGTTTTATAGATAGCCTAGATCGTCTCTCACCACATCCCCCACCCTTTCCGATGCTTTAAAGTTGTCTTTAGCTGCCGTTTTCTAATTTATATTTCAATTTACGAGGATTCGAATATCACAAAACCAACTTTTGCAGCGACTGCAACAACATATCGTACATATTTATGTTTTAAGAATTTTAGTATTCATTTTATGGCTAAAATCCCGTGACGAGTGCTAAATATACATGCATATACACGTATACATGCAAACTCGGCTAGATAGAGAATGAGAATACATAAAACAGGCTTGACGGGATGAGATTGTAGTTTTTGGCGAATATTTTGCTATCTCTACCTATCTATACATGCAAACTCGGCTAGATAAAGAATGAGAATACATAAAAAGGCTTGACGGGATGAGATTGTAGTTTTGGCGAATATTTTGCTATCTCTACCTATCTATACATGCAAACTCGGCTAGATAGAGAATGAGAATACATAAAAAGGCTTGACGGGATGAGATTGTAGTTTTATGAATATTTTGCTATCTCTACCTATCTATACATGCAAACTCGGCTAGATAGAGAATGAGAATACATAAAACAGGCTTGACGGGATGAGATTGTAGTTTTTGGCGAATATTTTGCTATCTCTACCTATCTATACATGCAAACTCGGCTAGATAAAGAATGAGAATACATAAAAAAGGCTTGACGGGATGAGATTGTAGTTTTTGACGAATATTTTGCTATCTCTACCTATCTATACATGCAAACTCGGCTAGATAGAGAATGAGAATACATAAAAAGGCTTGACGGAATGAGATTGTAGTTTTGGCGAATATTTTGCTATCTCTACCTATCTATACATGCAAACTCGGCTAGATAAAGAATGAGAATACATAAAAAGGCTTGACGGGATGAGATTGTAGTTTTTGACGAATATTTTGCTATCTCTACCTATCTATACATGCAAACTCGGCTAGATAGAAAATAAGAATACATAAAACAGGCTTGACGGGATGAGATTGTAGTTTTTGGCGAATATTTTGCATCTCTACCTATCTATACATGCAAACTCGGCTAGATAAAGAATGAGAATACATAAAAAGGCTTGACGGGATGAGATTGTAGTTTTTATGAATATTTTGCTATCTCTACCTATCTATACATGCAAACTCGGCTAGATAGAGAATGAGAATACATAAAAAGGCTTGACGGGATGAGATTGTAGTTTTGGCGAATATTTTGCTATCTCTACCTATCTATACATGCAAACTCGGCTAGATAGAGAATGAGAATACATAAAAAGGCTTCACGGGATGAGATTGTAGTTTTTGGCGAATATTTTGCTATCTCTACCTATCTATACATGCAAACTCGGCTAGATAAAGAATGAGAATACATAAAAAGGCTTGACGGGATGAGATTGTAGTTTTTGACGAATATTTTGCTATCTCTACCCATCTATACATGCAAACTCGGCTAGATAGAGAATGAGAATACATAAAAAGGCTTGACGGGATGAGATTGTAGCTTTTATGAATATTTTGCTATCTCTACCTATCTATACATGCAAACTCGGCTAGATAAAGAATGAGAATACATAAAAAGGCTTGACGGCATGAGATTAGTTTTGGCGAATATTTTGTTATCTCTACTATCTATACATGCAAACTCGTCTAGATAGAGGATGAGAATACATAAAACAGGCTTGACGGGATGAGATTGTAGTTTTACGAATATTTTGCTATCTCTACCTATCTATACATGCAAACTCGGCTAGATAAAGAATGAGAATACATAAAAAAGGCTTCTTGATGGGATGAGATTGTATTTTGACGAATATTTTGCTATCTCTACCTATCTATACATGCAAACTCGGCTAGATAGAGAATGAGAAATACATAAAGGCTTGACGGGATGAGATTGTGTTTTGGGAATATTTTGTCTCTACCTATCTATACATGCAAACTCGGCTAGATAAAGAATGAGAATACACAAAAAAGGCTTGACGGCATGAGATTGTAGTTTTTACGAATATTTTGCTATCTCTACCTATCTATACATGCAAACTCGGCTAGATAAAGAATGAGAATACAAAAAAAGGCTTGATTTGGATGAGATTGTAGTTTTTGACGAATATTTTATATCTCTACCTATCTACATGCAAACTCGGCTAGATAGAGAATGAGAATACATAAAAAGGCTTGACGGGATGAGATTGTAGTTTTTGACGAATATTTTGCTATCTCTACCTATATCTATACATGCAAACCGGCTAGATAAAGAATGAGAATATAAAAAAGGCTTGACGGGATGAGACAGTTTGACGAATATTTTGCTATCTCTACCTATCTATACATGCAAACTCGGCTAGATAGAGAATGAAAATACATAAAAAGGCTTGACGGATGAGATTGTAGTTTTGGCGAATATTTTGCTATCTCTACCTATCTATACATACAAACTCGGCTAGATAAAGAATGAGAATACAAAAAGCATTTGACGGATGAGATTGTAGTTTTTGGCGAATGTTTTATATTCTACCCATCTATACATGCAAACTCGGCTAGATAGAGAATGAGAATACATAAACAGGCTTGACGGGATGAGATTGTAGTTTTGACGAATATTTTGCATCTCTACCTATCTATACATGCAAACTCGGCTAGAAGAATGAGAATAATACAAAAAGGCTTGACGGGATGAGATGTAGTTTTGACGAATATTTTGCTATCTCTACCTATCTATACATGCAAACTCGGCTAAATAGAGAATGAGAATACATAAAAAGGCTTGACGGAATGAGATTGTAGTTTTGGCGAATATTTTGCTATCTCTACCTATCTATACATGCAAACTCGGCTAGATAAAGAATGAGAATACATAAAAAGGCTGACGGGATGATTGTAGTTTTGACGAATATTGCTATCTCTACCCATCTATACATGCAAACTCGGCTAGATAAAGAATGAGAATACATAAAAAGGCTTGATGGATGAGATTGTAGTTTTGACGAATATTTTGCTATCTCTACCTATCTATACATGCAAACTCGGCTTGATAGAGAATGAAAATACATAAAAAGGCTTGACGGGATGAGATTGTAGTTTTTATGAATATTTTGCTATCTCTACCCATCATCTATATCCAAACTCGGCTAGATAAAGAATGAGAATACATAAAAAGGCTTGACGGGATGAGATTGTAGTTTTATGAATATTTTGCTATCTCTACCCATCTATACATGCAAACTCGGCTAGATAGAGAAATGAGAATACATAAAACAGGCTTGACGGGATGAGATTGTAGTTTTGACGAATATTTTGCATATCTCTACCTATCTATACATGCAAACTCGGCTAGATAAAGAATGAGAATACATAAAAGGCTTGACGGGATGAGATTGTAGTTTTGAAGAATTTTGTTATCTCTACCCATCTATACATGCAAACTCGGCTAGATAGAAAATGAGAATACATAAAACAGGCTTGACGGGATGAGATTGTAGTTTTGACGAATATTTATATCTCTACCTATCTATACATGCAAACTCGGCTAGATAAAGAATGAGAATACATAAAAAGCTTGACGGGATGAGATTGTAGTTTTGACGAATATTTTGCTATCTCTACCTATCTATACATGCAAACTCGGCTAGATAGAAAATGAGAATACATAAAACAGGCTTGACGGGATGAGATTGTAGTTTTGGCGAATATTTTACTATCTCTACCTATCTATACATGCAAACTCTCGGCTAGATAAAGAATGAGAATAAAAAGGCTTGACGGGATGAGATTGTAGTTTTTGGCGAATATTTTATATTCTACCCATCTATACATGCAAACTCGGCTAGATAGAGAATGAGAATACAAAAAAGGCTTGACGGGATGAGATTTGTGGTTTTATGAATATTTTATATCTCTACCTATCTATACATGCAAACTCGGCTAGATAGAGAATGAGAATACATAAAAAGGCTTGACGGATGAGATTGTAGTTTTGGCGAATATTTTGCTATCTCTACCTATCTATACATGCAAACCTCGGCTAGATAAAGAATGAGAATACATAAAAAGGCTTGACGGGATGAGATTGTAGTTTTGACGAATATTTTGCTATCTCTACCTATCTATACATGCAAACTCGGCTAGATAGAGAATGAGAATACATAAAAAGGCTTGACGGGATGAGATTGTAGCTTTGGCGAATATTTTGCTATCTCTCTACCTATCTATACAAACTCGGCTAGATAAAGAATGAGAATACATAAAAAAAGGCTTGACGGCATGAGATTGTAGTTTTGGCGAATATTTTGCTATCTCTACCTATCTATACATGCAAACCTGGCTAGATAGAGGATGAGAATACATAAAATAGGCTTGATGGGATGAGATTGTAGTTTGGCGAATATTTTGCTATCTCTACCTATCTATACATGCAAACTCGGCTAGATAAAGAATGAGAATACATAAAAAGGCTTGACGGGATGAGATTGTAGTTTTGACGAATATTTTGCTATCTCTACCTATCTATACATGCAAACTCGGCTAGATAGAGAATGAGAATACATAAAAAAAGGCTTGACGGGATGAGATTGTGAAGCTTAAGAATATTTTGCCATTCCTCACCATCTATACATGCAAACTCGGCTAGATAAAGAATTGAGAATACATAAAAAGGCTTTGACGGCATGAGATTGTAGTTTTTGAATATTTTGCTATCTCTACCTATCTATACATGCAAACTCGGCTAGATAAAGAATGAGAATACATAAAAAGGCTTGACGGGATGAGATTGTAGTTTTGGCGAATATTTTGCTATCTCTACCTATCTATACATGCAAACTCGGCTAGATAGAGAATGAGAATACATAAAACAGGCTTGACGGGATGAGATTGTAGTTTTTGGCGAATATTTTGCTATCTTTACCTATCTATACATGCAAACTCGGCTAGATAGAGA